GTTCTATGGTCTACTATGGAACTTTACTCAAGCTTAAAAGGTGGGACTTCAACAGTAAAAAAGAGTTTTTTAATTATCTTTCACTTTTTATCAAACACATAACATGAACAAACGCATTACATGAACGATAATGGGTAAGTTCCTTCTTCCTCTTCTACCTTCTTGTTATCAAACACGACCTAATTCACCTTATTTTTAGGAGGCTACCAGCTATCAAACTTTGTGCAGTCCCCTTTTCCACGTAACAAACGACCTCCTAAAGGCGTTAAGGATGTATGGGAATGGAGCAGTTTGGTAATGAAATTATTGACAATTGTTACAATCGGCGAACATGGCAAAAGTAACTAAAATCTCCTATAAATTTAGAATGTGGCTACAAGCTTATATACACAAAGTGCAAGAACATGTGGCTCGTCCGGTACCACGGGGCCAGGGTTAGGCCTGGGCTGGCCCCATGGCACGAGTTTAGAGTTTCAAAATTCGTCAATCTAGATCAAGAATCAATAGAAACTGAGCAGGTTCCTAACTCCTTTAGACTCATCCAGTTCTATCAAGAGAAAAAGAAAAAGGTTTATATAGAGCCAAGCCTCTAAACAATCAAATTAGAGACCACATAAAAAATTTCATTCAAAGAGGTTGTTTTGATGTCTAAATATTCTTAAATTGATCATCTTGGCATTAAGATGCATAGATAGGTGAAAACATGGATTTCAAGTTTTGAAAATAGTGCATCTTGTAAGGTATTTTTTGACCGTCAATTTTCAAAATTTTCAAGTTTTTATAGATCTACTCGATCTACACTTTTTTTGAAGCTCTAAATTTTACAATTAAAGATAAAAATATATTTTAAGGCTACCACAAATATTTCCAGTATTGAAACCACATTTCTCAACACTATTTGAAGGTGGGTTTTATTTTGATTGTTTAGAGCCTCGACTCTATACAAAACACACCCAAAAAAAATGGGAGTCTATTCCACATATTTTTTACTAATTTTTATGTATTTTATTTGAAAATCAAAATTATTATTTAATTTTTTGGAACCGATCTCGCCCAAAAAAATCAATTAGGTTTGCCGTGTGTATTTTAAACCATCAAACAAAATTGAGAAAAGTAGGAAATGGACAGATAAGGCTAATTTCCAAATCCAAGAGGGGACCCTTCAAAACCCAGTCCATAGCGCCGATTATTTCCAAAGCTGATTGTGACCATGGTTGGGGTGCGCCCTGGTCAGATAATGCTTCACGTGATCTCGGTATCAAATGACAATGACAACGCAAAGTTTGGGCGGATATCGTGCTACAGACCGCCGATTGTCCTATCTCCTATGCAATGAGACCATTTGTTTTTAATATATGGAGGTGAGTAGTTGGAAATGTGTGATTGTTTAAGTGCAAAGTTCAAAATAAATTTTTTTAAATATTATAGTATATTTTTATCGATTTCTCGTTCAACGGGTTAAAAGTGGTTGTAACTCTGATTGTGTGAACTCATTATACCAAAAATAAATAGTATCATACCATACAAACTCTTTATTAAAATATGCCTTTTTTCCTCTATGAGTTATCTCCCCGAAAATCTCTCCTCATTGAGGCACAAATAACTGGTAACATGTTCTATCACAAAATAAGCAAGTTACATGTCCTTCTAAACAATTTAAAGAAATAAAACATAACGCCTTGAGAACTTTTAAAATTGGAAAATTTATTAAATTACTTATGAGATATGAATAATTTAACATTTTACTCGTATCTTTTAATTAAATTTGAAAATACTTCTAAAAAAAATGACCTTATGTTGGAATAGTTGCAAATGTATAAAATATTACGAGATTGTATAGAATGAGACTATGTACTTTTGATATAAAGAGGTCACAATTACTTACAATTATTTGATGTGAAACTTATAGCTTGCTGTGTCATAAAGTTCAAGAAATATCTTTTGAAATTTGAGCTTGGTCAATGAAATAAATACAGTCATCTAATTTCATATCCAATAGTCAACATTAATTATGATCACTATGTACTAAAAATAAATGGTCTCATTGTATGCTTCTCCAAATATTAAATAGTCCTTCTCTTGTAAGTATTATTTTTATAGATAGCCCTTTAAAATTTAAAAAAAGAAATGTAAGTGATGCATTCTAGATACAAATAGTAATTAGTATGTCAAATCTGCCATCGATTGTCAACAATTAATGGTGGTTACGAACTGATCATGCGCTCGGCTCAAATTGTGCAGCTTTTGGGAGTTTAGAAGTAAAATAAAATAAGCAATGAGAAAAAGCCAAAAAATTTTATATGCTCGCTATAAATACTCGCCTGTAGGCAATAACCATAATAATCAAGACCGAGCTATAAATACTTGCCGGTAGGCAACAACCATAATAATCAAGGCCGGGCTATAAATACTGGCCTGTAGGCAACAACCATAATAATCAAAGCTGGGACAGACAAAGGATGTAAACAAGGACGCTGATTATAAAGTTGTGAAAGAAAACATGTACTAGATTTCACATATATGCAAGAAACTCGCTAGACTCGAAGGAGCCAAAAATTTAGGCCATGTGATATATCGAACACCAATTTTTATCAAATTCGATTTTTGTTTTAGACTATACGAGACACCAATTGGTGGCCCGACTGATAATATGAGGCAGTCCATTCCAGTTTAGTATTTGATAACCCTTTGCTGACTAGTAAAACCTTTATTAAAAATGAATTCTATAAAAAAAATTGTATCATCAGAAAAATGATATTATTTAAAAAAAAAAAAAAAATTGTTGTGCTTGTGGACACATTTAACATATCATTTTTATTTTTGATGTTTTAGAAAATAAGACATTTCTTCTTAATATTTTTTTTGAAAACATAACTATAAAAATATTTAATTTTACTTAAAATCCTATATCCTATTTTCTTTATATGTTCTATGGATATGAAATATTTAAAAGATTAATTTTATAAAAAAAATTGTTTCATACAAGTTGGACTGCAATTTAAAAATATAAAGCATCTATTGTAAAGATAGATGCAAATAGGTGGTCCATCAAAAAACAATTGTAACTAACGGGTCAAATATTTTCTTAATATACTTACCGTGGCTCCCAATGTATACACATGTGAAGAGGGATCACTACGTAGTATACGCATACTGCGTATGATACACCAAAAGGAGATAGGGTCCTTCCATCCGTTCTCAAGACGGACAGAGAGGATGAACCTTAGTTCCACTTGAATGTCCACCTCTCGCGACCATTGTATATTTCCTGTGCACGATACACAAGTCCCGTATGGTGTACTCTCTCATGTTTAAGGCCGCCGCACATAAGTCACTGAAACCCGAAGCTACCACTGATATAAACCATAAATGCACGTGTACAATGCACATGTGATTACCTCTTTAGAGAGAGAAAAAGAAGTGAGAGAAAGGACAGCCGGCAGGAGGAGAGAGAAAGGGCAAAATCACCTCTTTAGAGAGAGAAAAAGAAGTGAGAGAAAGGACAGGCTTTGGCAGGCAGGTGCAGAGAGCAAAGTACATAAAGGAGAGAGAGAAGATCATACGTGCAAACATTAGCGACCACAGGTTCACCGGATCACAAACCAAACCCCGCTATATGTAAGGCTCTTTCCAGCTCATTTTCATGGACGATATTTTAAGGGAAAATTAAAGCAAAAAAAAGGAAAAAAAAGCTTGATTTTCCATTTTCGATCCAGAGAGAGAGAGAGAGAGCTCTGGTTAGGGCTAGCCGGTTCTTCTGCAAACTCTCGCTCGAAGATGCTGCAGTTTCTGTTTGGGCTAGCCCTTGCCTCTTTGATAGCAATTGCCTTATTTTCTGGTTTTAAAAAGAAGAGTCCCCGGCAAAATCCTGCGGTTTTCCGGCCAGGTGTCCGGGAAACTGAGAATGGTAGTTTTCAGGCGAAGGATTCAAGCACAGATGTGATCATTGTTGGTGCAGGTGTTGCAGGCTCGGCTCTTGCGTATACTCTTGGAAAGGCATGCGACTTTGGCTTTGAATTTTTATCTCCATCGAAATTTTTGATTTTTTTATTGAATTTTTGTTGTAAACTTTTGATTTTAGGGGGAACCGTTAGGGTTTTCACGGTTAATTAGGCTTTCTATGTTTAATTATCTGATGTAAATTAGGATCAGAGTTGTTGCTTGTTGTTGATATTGTGACTCGCCTAGCGACCCAACACTTTGTCTATTAAAAGATTAGGGTTCGGAATAAGGTCTTCTGAAGTCCTTTTGGTGATATCATTTTACGTGAAATTTTGTTTATTAAATTGGTTGAAATTTGCTTTGATAACGATCACTTCCAGTTTATTAGGCTACATGATTGTGCATCTCTAGATTGTACTCCCTATCATATAATTAAGACATAATTGCGTTTATGTACGCACAGACATACACATGTATATGCTATAGATATGTTTGTTAATGTCCCTGTAATTGTGTTCCACCAAGGTATGGGAAACTCTCACCTGGATAATTTGGTTCGAGTTTACTTATCAGAAAAAAAAGAAAAAAGAGAAATTCCCTTGAGTTAGGAAAACCAGTTATTAAAATCTTATTGCACTAAAGATATCTTTCTTGTGGATTATTTCAGCAAGGTCCAGCTACTAGGAGGGTAGTTAATACAATTCATGTGTGCTTTTTTGTGTACTTGGAATCATGGATGTCCGGTTCCCATGTGAATCTACATGAAGTGTATTATGAAAATGCTACCTTTATCATAAACTAAAGAATGATTGGCTACGGCTATGAGGGGTCCTGTTAAGTAATGATTATAAATGAATCTTTTACCTGTCTTATGAGCCCAGTTCTTTGTTCAATTTATAGGCATATGACTCATTTTACAAATATCAGCACATAGCATTTTCAGGTTGGTTGTATTTGTTTGGATTTCTGTAAGTTTTGTTTTGTTGCTTAACTAATTTTCCCATCATAAAACAAAAGAGAGGCTGGATAAGTGATTCTCATGTTCTAAGTCAGATCCAACGAGTAGTTAGGAACAATTATGTCTTAATGATTAGTTAAGATTGGCTGAGTTTATTTAAAGTTCAAACTGTTGAAGATAGACATCTCTTATGGCAAATTAGGGGAAGATAAAATAGTGGACAATGAGATCTATTGGAGATTGTTAGTTCTTGCCCTTTCATAAACAAAAGAAAATGAATGCTTTGCATTGTGTTCAATGAGTTAAGATCATCCCCTGATGGTTGCCATGAATTTAGTCTATCCTGGCTACTGCTGAAGTGTCTGTGATGACACTGTTTTATGGTTGAGACATTTTCTTATTTTGAACTACATTTGTTTGAAGTTTCAACTAGAATAACGGCTATGAAGTACCTTTTGGAAGAAATTTTAATCATATCCTTATTTTTTTGCATATGAAGGCAGGATGGACGTCGGGTTCAGGTGATTGAGAGGGACTTGACAGAGCCTGATAGGATTGTTGGAGAATTATTGCAGCCTGGTGGCTACCTGAAATTGGTTGAGCTGGGCCTTGATGGTAAGTATGAACTTTAACCTTTGGTTTGCAGTAGATGACAATATGAGAAAGGAATTTGTAACTGATCTTGTATTCAGTGTTAAATGGGACCATTTTGTTTTCAAGCTTCAAGGTCCTCTGTAGTGCTTGTTTTCCCTCGAAACCTCCAATTATCGGGCGTTTCTGGGAAAATGAAAATTCACCAAGATGTTTATCTCTACAATTCATTGTAATAATGTATCCTCCATTGCACGATGTTGATGTCATCCATCTATTCCACAATTCCATATAACACATTATATTATATATATAT